TAGAGAACCTGAAAAGTTCTATTGTAATTTCACAAGTTACAGTTATGCAGATGAAGAAGGCTACTGCTCTACTGGAACTCACTTTTCAGTCACTATACCTACTTTTGGAAATCTGTCAGCTAGTGGGAAAGCAGGGGACCTGGTCTAAATCCTTCTGGATTGCTTTGGAATCCTGATAACATTAATACTCCCCCTCCACCCTTGGACTCAAGAATCACAAAGACTGATGTTGTGCCTTCTCTTCCTCTGTGTCAACATGGGACCAGCCATAGTTATGTCCTAGTTTATTAATATTGTGTAGTATTTCAGGTACATCTGGAAACTATAGTCCTTAAGGCCATGGCTGGTACATGGTGAAATTCAATGGAACAGAGCTTTAATGGAAAACTGCTCCTATGCCCTTGCTAGTACCAAGGAAGAGACTGAACGGGGATAGAAAGATCACAAAGGAGGAACTGAAAGCAAGCCCATAATCCTGTACTAACACCTAGAGGAGGGCTGAGGAGGCAGTGTCTGCATGGGTTTGGATTTGACAGGACCAAAATTTTATTAATTATAATGAGATTTTGGTACAAAATGTCAGAAATTTCTAGCCATCAGCTGGTCTCCTGAGCTTCCCACTAGCTTAGACTACAATTTTGGTTGAACAGCTACTCTGACAAGATTTAAACCCCATATAATATTTGAGTTTAACAAAAAACAAATTCTAAAAGCAGGTTTTGATCAGTTAGTTGTGAACGACCCTAAAATTTGAAGTTTCTGATTCAAGGTTTAGATTTTTGGTCCATCTCTACTGAAACTTACAGCACTATAAAGCAGTATTACTGTTGAGTACTACACTAGTGGGTATTTTGATAGGCCATTTTCACATTAAATCATTTCTCTGCCCCTTCAAGGGTCAAACTCCTTGGCTGATAGCCAAAAAGTGAGACAAGTAACAGGCTGGAGAAGCTTGGGGAATAACTACGACAATGAAAGGAGAGCACCCTGCCTAAAGATTTGCTGAAGATATTTTGCAAGTTGCCTCGCTGGAGCATGGGAGAATTCTTCAGTTGCACGCACCAGTTTTGTGCCAAGATGACGTGCTTGGTGTGGCTGCAGGAGATGGGTATGCCAATCATTTTGGCTTTGTGTTTTGCCCTCTCTTTCCAGAGGTCAGCAGTAAAGCTCAAAAATAACACCTTTTTGTCAGTTTCACTAATTGTATTTTTGTCATTGGACTCTTCACATGAAGATTTGGGCTGGTTTTCCAGCCAATATGTAAAGTAAGTGTAAGATGTAGCCAAAATTTTTTATTGGAGTCTCTCAATACAAGAAGGAAACTTTTTGTCTGGAACAATCATCTTTAAAAAAATCGCCTATATCCATTTTGGAGAGAGGCTTCAAGAGGACATGCTAAAAGCTTTGCTACCTTTTCTGGTTACCAGATGACAAACTTCCATCTGTTACCTTTGATGATTCCATCTTTAACCCTTTCACAACCTTTGATCGCCTGCCTAAACTATAAATTAATGAATCTTAAAAAAAAGTGATATCAAACTTAAAGGTCACATAATATCTTTCTCATGTAAAACCTCTAACATGTGAAGGAATCCTGGTTTCACTGAGAAGGTTTGGCATTCTGTGGTTCTATTGTAATTTCAGCCTTTCATTCTATAAATTGGCAGAATTAGTCATCATTAGGAAAAACAAGTTGATTCAGGTGATAGGCCAGTAATCCACGTTAGGGTTTAGTTGAGAGAGGCCTATTTTCATAGTCAAAGTGATTTATTTTGAAATTGAAGCAAATACCAAAAAGCAGATACCTCATCTCTGCCACTTCACCTGGAACAACCATGACTAAATTACTGGCGCTTTTTTATCAGTATCTGAGGGCTTCTCGATACAGAAATATCCACTTAGATTAAGATAAAGTTTATGTTTAAAGTGAAAAAGGCTATTCTTGATTAAGATCCTGCATAGGCATATTTTTCCTAGAATATGAGTGCCTTTTTCCAAGTCATCTTAATCAACTGCAAAGTGGATTGAACTAATAAAGTACTATTATTTCAAAATAAAAGCATTCATACAGGGACTTAATGAGGAATAGCTAATCAGGAAAGGTTAATCAGGAATGGCTATTCTGAAATAACTCTCATTGTGGACAAACCAAAAGGGTCTTAGAGTTAAGATGGCACTCTCAACACTCTTTTCATTAAAAAAGTTGCAATGGATTGCTAAGATCTTAAGAGATGTGGTGGACTTAAATTTAACAGCAGAATCAATGATCTTACAGACACAGCCTTGCATACAGTTCTATTCATAACTAATGTTTAAAAGCCCATTCCTGACTTACAACTGATGATCCAGTGGTATTTTAAAAAACCTAGCAGTATAACATTTTAAAGATGGAAAAAGTTACTAATTCAGGATATTTTATAAAGAAAGTATCTTAAAGGTCTTTTAACAAGCAGATTAATAAACTTTCACCTGTATTTAGAATGGCAGAGAAAAAACACCTTTCCTCTTTGGGTCCTACTTTTAACTGCTAAATAAGCATATACCAAGTATGGCAGTACCAGTAAGAACAGAAAGCAGGACCAGAAAAAACAAATGAGGATACAGACTTGGAAAAGGCTGACACTGTCCTGGAAACAGGTCATGGGAAACCAAGATGCCCAGAGGAAAAACACACCTGTGTTTATTCTAGTTCATCGTTGGATGCTCCCAATCCACTGAAACCATTCTAATGAAGATCCTGTATCTGACAGCAAAAAACTTCAAATAGAAAACAGACCATAGTGATAATGATATTTATAGGAAAGCATCCATCATTTTTCATCTTTATGCATAACCCTTTCAGAGAAAGTCCACTTTCAAAATAATTCAAGGATGAAGAGGACTGGAAAAAACCTCCATTTTATTCCCTTCAAAGAACACTGGGTGCTATTTTTAAAATTATTTTAATTGCCACACAATTTATTCAAGAAATGTACTCACAAAGGGAGAATTTTTTTCAATTATGAATCAGGTTGATGATGGGTTTATTTATTTTGTTTGTAATTTGGGGGGGAGGGGGACGGGGGGGGGGGACTGGGGAATAAGAACCTCACCAGAACTGCAGGCGGTGTGCCTTTTTTAAAAAATGAAAATCATTATATATATATAATTTGATGGTGTCAATACCACTTCTTTGTTATTGATATTCTTAGGATGATATATTTGCCTTTTTAATTTTGTTGTGATTTCTTTTAGGAGTATTTTAATGGACTTTTGAAATGCAGAAATGATAAGTGCACCCACCCCAAATTTCCTAAGAATGATCTTGTCCTGGTTTTTCTTCCTACCAGTTCAATAACGAATTGGTGCTGTTCACTGACATACTACTTTTCAGTGTAAAAAGAATGTAACTACACAGACCACCTACAGGGACCAGGTAACAGTGACCTCTCTCAGACAATGGTCTCTCTAAACACACTGCATTGACATTTTCAAAAATCAAAAAAGGCTGTATTAGGGACCAGATGACAAACAGTGGTCTCCTCTCCTATTAGGTGGTCTCTCTTAAAGAAGGTGGTCCTGAAAGTTTCACTATGTTACTTGCATTGGTGTTTTATAGCATGGAATCCATTAGAAAACTTTGAAATGATGATTAAGAAAGAAACAAACCGTTATGACTTGAAAATAGTAGGGTATTTTCATCGTCTACTAATGCTATACTACCTTATATTTGTTCTCTGTGATCCTGACCAGCAACACAACTAAATTCACGTTTAACTTTAAGCATGTGAGTAGTCTCATTGGGTAAAAGAAAAAGCACATGCTTAAATCTTTTGCTGGATCTGGGCTTCCATTTCTTTCATATTTCTTTGTTCTCTTTTTACTGCATTGTTCCCTTCTGTTTCCAGTTGTTAATCCCTTGTGTTAATACCCTTCTTTGGTGCTTTTTTCCCACTTTTCATACACTCTTTTCTTGCTAGGCTTTATTCTGTTTTATCCAGTCCCTTTTTTGCCCTTCTTTTTTATGTATTCCTTTTGTTCCATTATTTTTTTCCTTTTACCTCACTATAATCAGATCTGATGAAAGCATCATGTTTCAATGAAGGTATCAAGCCAAAACATCAATAAAGACAGTAGGGGCTTTTATATTTGATGTAAATCTTCCAGTGCTTTTACGAGTAGGTAACAAAGCCCAGTTTAGCTTTGTAGCTTAATATCTTTGTTTGCTAATGCTGATTTTCAACTGTGGTTCTTTGTGGAACCCACTCACATACATTCAGTTAATAAGTTTGCAAAATACTTTCTCCACACATCATTACATCATTTAATTTATGCCACTTTCAGATTTTAGTAAGTAAAAATATGTTAATTGAATGTATGAGAGATTATTGGGTAAACTTCTAGAGATTATTTGGATTTTTTCTTTCTTTTGCATGGTTATGTGTGTCGTTAAATTGTCCCTGGCTTGAGACATGCCAGGGACTAAATTCCATTTTGCAATAATTCCATTATTTTCTCACAGTAATATTTCAACACACTGCTTCAACAAATTCTTCCCTCTACCCTCCTGCAGAGGCTCATGTTTTCCCTGCTGTTGCATAGACAATAACTGATCAGTAAATGCTTTTTTTGTGTGAGAAGACTTTAAAAACCAGCATCTTTTAAATTAAAACACTAACCCTTGCTGCAGTTGGTGGATTATCTATGTTCTGCCTATCTTTAGTAAGGACAAGAATTAGTTTGTGTAACTATAATCCCAAAATACAGCTGGCCATCTCAATTTCTGATAGTCTTGTATCATATTCGGTGCTGTGCATCTAAGAGGAGCAACAAAGACCTAACAGCCTGGCGGTTTTTGTTGGGGAAGTATCCATGTATCTTTAAGTCATGACCAATGTATTTTTTGATCCCAGGCTGTTCCCTGTGGGTTTTCCTTGAGTTATAGCTGTCTGTTCCCACCTGCCCACAGGTAGCCCCATGCCCAGAAGCTACCTGTTACATAGCTCTGCAGCTCGTCACAAAGTCCTCCTCCCGTCCTCCTCCTATTGACACACACACTTGTGCAAAACTTGTGAGTTTTCAAGCACAAGGAACCTTTCAGTTAAAATAGTCACTGCCTTTTAAATATCAAGCAACTATTAATTATGGAATTTGTCCTCCAGGGGAATTATTTGCTGAAGCAATTTGTTGTTATATATTCAATTTTCTTGAATCTTACAAGAGATATTGTACTTTTCTCTCTATTTTAGGTGGAATCGATGCATAATATTTAAATATACCTTTTTTTAAATGAAGAGATATGGATAAAAATTGATGGGGCATTGTTTCTATACATCTCTTGTAGGCTGATTTCTACAAGAGTTGGCTGATTTTGAAACATTTAAATGTTTATTTACTTTTCCATTTGTTATGCTGAATTATTCAGCTTGTGTGTTAGATATCCAAACTAATCACTTGGGATACACTGATGTTGTAAGTGCTGTAATATACTTTTGTATTAGTAGTAGCCAATATTATTATTGTGGTGATTTGGGGAGTTTATTTCAGCTCCTTTTGACTTAGTTCAGCTAGCCAGAACTGTTTTGCCTTTAAATCTGATTCATTACATAAGTAATTGCTAGTAGAAGAACAAAAGTTCCCCCCCCCCCCCCAATAATTCCTATTTTATTTTATGAAAAAAAAAAAAATTTCCCCCCCCCCCCCCAATAATTCCTATCTTATTAGGAGCTTCCTCAGTCAAATTGAGTTTTTGCCTTTTTTTCTTGATAATAAGATCACTGATATATGTCTGCTTCTAATCTCAATAATTCTGAATGCCAGTCTGAACATTTTTTTGGTACTCTCACCAAGTTGTAATGCCATTTTTGAGGAACAGGCAGTGAACTGCATCACCAGGAGTTGAGAATGGCAGTGGAATTTGACATATTTTTATTTAAAAAGTCTCCTAGTATAAGTAAGTTTTCATAGGTTAGACAGGTTTCTTTAATGAGTAGATACTTTTCTCATCTATTCAGGTTTAAGGAATTCTTTACAGTGTGATTAAAAATTAGAGAGAGACTGAAGGATTAAATATTCAGCATTTAGCAGGGAATAGCAATTTATGTTAATTGACTTCCACAAATACTAATGAAAAGTAGCTTGGGTGCTTGGTCTTCAGCACAGCTAAGACTAATTCTACAAAATTTAAAGCATATCATTTAAACATATAAGAACCTTAGTTGTGTCATTGATTTGAATGGAACTGTGTGTGTACTTAAAACTAGGCACATCCTTGAGCCATTTGCTCACTCAGGATCTAAGGGTTTAATCACAGCTTCCTCAGTGCCAACTTTTGCAAAATACAAAACATGACAAATTCCTGCCATCCCATACCTAACTATAAAGTGAAGATAGCAGTTTTCATATCTATTTGTAAGATCGTACGAGACATGGATAAAAACATACTATATAAGAGCTAGGTATTAATATTATAAATGGCTTGGTCAAAGGTTATACTTTTTTTTGACAAATTTAGGTACCGATACATTGAAATATGGGATGATTATTGGTTACAGCCATAAATATGGAACCATGACCATGATCCTGTAATAGAACTCTAACCAATTCCCATGCATCATGCTGAAACTTTACTCCTCAATGTCAAGAGTTTTAGTAGGATTTCCATTTCAGTTAGTGTACTGTATCTATTCCTGTACTATTTGTGTCTGTTATATATGATGTACATACATTTCTTGACCTTTTTTAAGTGAATGTTTATTTAGATATATTTCCTGTCATTTGTAAATGGCAGCTGATCTAACTAATAAATTATAAAACCACTTGCATCTCCTTTCAGTTTTGGGATGACTTTTCTTTTTACAGATTTCAAAATTATAGAACTGTATATATATTTACCTGCAGACAAGGTTCTTTGGGTGAATCTGATATCTTTTATTAGAACAACTTAAATAGT